ATAATCCCTTCTTTCCATCAACCTGTTACTCACATGAGATCGCAACCATTAGCAAACAACAATGATCCAGTCAATTCTTGATGGACAAAAGTCCGGTCCTACATTTGAGAAGCCGTTTCACTCATATATATATATATATATATATATAGGGAAGAAAAGCAACTGCAATTTCCATCTCATGCTGACTTTAAATTACTACATTAAAATGATCTTTTAAGATTCTGTGATCTCAGTGTTTTTCTCCTAATGTCTGACAGATAGGAACCCCAATGTACTGCGCTACTGCCCCGCCTCGGACACACGGTCCGTTTTCTTTTCCTGTTCGGCTCATGTGCGCAAGCAGCAGATGCTCTCAGTGGAGGACACCATCTACCTGGTGGGTGGCTACACTCACGAGCTAGAACCTGCAGAAATGGGATGCCGGAGACTCAGCTAGACGGAGGACATGCTGACGGTACAGTCATACAACGTGCAGACGGGAGAATGGTTGCAGTTTAAGGAAAATACATCAAAGTCTGGCTTAAACCTCACCTGCACGCTGCACAACGACGGCATCTACATTATGAGCAGAGATGTCAGCCTGCCCACCAGCCTGGAGCACCGCGTCTTCCTCAAATACAACATTTTCTCAGATGCCTGGGAGGCATTCAGACGTTTTCTTGCTCTGGGACAGAACATGCTGCTTTGCTCTCTCTACCTGCCCAATGTCCTGTGAGCCACATTGTTCACGCTCTGGGGATCTGAAGAAGACTGCAGACTGCTGGGGAACACAGATTTTGTTGTAGCGAGCCCAGCCAGGTCTGAAATGGCAAGTTTACTAGAGGTTTACCAAAACGGTTTACTAGATCGGAATGATCAACCAACCAAGAACCTGCAGAAGACATTAAAGGAATAGTATAGCAAAAACATTTCAATTTGGTCATTATTTACTCCCACTCAAACTGTGTGACTTTAAAAGAGTATCTGGAACATTCTTTAACATTCATGCTTTTGTGTTCCATGGAAGGAACAAGTCACACAGGGTTAAAACAACATGTGGGTGAGAAAATGATAAAAAAATGACATATTTATGTATTTATTTTTTTGATGAAATAGTCATTTTATTTAGTCATTTAGCAGACCTAAATGACTAGGTCTGCATGTGAACAGACCTAAATGACTAGGTTCAGCATGTGAACTACTTGTGGATTATTGTGGTGTTGTTATCAGCTGTCTGGACTCTCATTCTGACGGAGAAGACATTAAAGGAATAGTATAGCAAAAACATTTCAATTTGGTAATTATTTGCTCCCCCTCAAACTGTGTGACTTTAAAAGAGTGTCTGGAACATACACTCATTGGCTCATTGTCATTTAAATGATTATTTCTAAATAAAGGTCAACAGTTTGACTTTGATCATTAAAATCATAAGTCAAAAAGCCTCAATACTGAAAGGAATAGCTCACACAAAAATGAAAGTTTGCTGAAAATTCACTCACCCTCAGGCCATTCAAGATACAGATGAGTTTATTTCTTCATCGGGACAGATTCAGAGAAATTTAGCATTACATCTCTTGCACACCAGTGGATCCTCTGTAGTGAATGGGTGCCGTCAGAATGAGAGTCCAAACAGCTGATAACAACACCACAATAATCCACAAGTAGTTCACACACCACCAGTCCATCAGTTAACATCTCTTGAAGTGAAAAGCTGCATGTTTGTAATAAACACATCCATCATTAATGCATTTTAACTTTCAAATACAAGTCCATAATGCATAATAACACTTCCTCCAGTGAAAAAGTCCACCCTCTGTTGTCCTTTCACATAAAAATCCACCAACATATTTGTTCAGAACTGTTTTGGACTGTTTTCACTTGTAAACAGTGCGTGATCTGTGTATATTTCTCTTCTGATTCAGACAAGATTACTTTTTCACTGGAGAATGCAGTATTATAGATAGAGGACTCATATTTTTAGCCAGAAGCAACAGTTTGTAGTAAAAACGTCTCCATGATGGATTTGTTCATTACAAACAGCCTTTTTTAACTTCACAAGATGTTGGTTGATGGACTGGAGTCACGTAGATTATTGTGATGCTTTTATCAGCTGTTTGAACTCTCATTCTCATGGCACCCATTCACTGCAAAGGATACATTTGGTTAGCAAGTGATGTAATGCTACATTTTTCCAAATCTGTTTTGATTAAGAAACAAATTAATTTGCATCTTGGATGACCTGAGAGTGAGTACATTTTCAGCATTTTCATTTTTTGCTGAACTATTCCTTTAATATCTCCATCAGAAGTTCTGTTCTTTTTTCCCTTAATAAAATAAATAATCATTTAAAAACTGCATTTTGTATGTACTTGCATTATCTTTGTGTAATATTAAAATTTGTTTGATGATCTGAATCTTTTAAGTGTGAAAAATATGCAAAAAATAAAAAAAAACAGGAAGGGGGCCAACACTTTTTCACACCACTGTATATAATTTTATTTATCTGGGCAGAGAGAAAGAACACTACAAGAAATGCACCAAACATTTTCAACTTGCACAGAACCATCTAATGCCAATGCACGTACAGTTCCTTGATATATAACATGACATTTACTACTACTAATATACAGATGCACAAGTGAAGTCTTCAGATTTATAGAGCCTGCAGATTAAATTAAAACACTAAACTTGCATAAGCTGATTAAACAACTTAATATAAAGGATAATGAAAGACATCAAAGATGTAATAATGTCATTCCAAATCTGTATGACTGTCTCAGCCAGAGCAGATGTCCCAGCACAGACAAGCCACCTGTAAGAGAGGATGGTGGGGCAGTGGATGGCCAATGATTTGCTCGTTAAACTCGGGGATACTAAGCGCCAAATCTGTCAAACTAGTTATCAAACATACGGATTGAAATAAGTTTTTTAAACCAGTAAGTGGCAACATGATTGAGATGATCGGATATAAAAATGCAGCTTATGATATAAATGCTATGTTTTGTCTTTAATAAAATTGAATTTGGTCAAATTAAATTAAGAGATTATTACCTGATTTATTAGAAGAACATTCCATCCATGTTTCACAGGCATTCAACAGATAATTTGATTTGAACATATACAGAATTGTTTTCTGCATGTGTTTCTATGACGACTGACTCGAAAAGCATCAGCAGAGTTCTATGAAAAAGAAAAAAAAATTTGACCGTTCTCTCAGAATGCTTTGGAATTCTACTGCATACACTCTTAAAAATAAATGTGCTTCACGATGCCATAGAAGAACCATTTTGTCTAAATGGTTCCATAAAGAACCTTTAACATCTGAAGAACCTTTCTGTTTCAAAAAGGTTCTTTGTAGTGAAAGAAGGTTCTTCAGATCATAAAAAGGTAAGAAAGAGATGGTTCTTTAAAGAACCTTTGACTGAATGGTTCTTTGTGGAACCAAAAATGGTTCTTCTATGGCATCGCTTGAAGAACCTTTTGAAGCACCTTTATTTTTAAGAGTGTACCGATGACTAAAGGCAACTGAAGAGAAGCATCATGACATTTACTTTAATTTTGTAAAATGGTCAATTAGTCTGTTTCTGCAATACTGGGAAGGCAAAATATCAAAATCATCTGTTCAACCAAAATAGCCTTGGTCCTGGTTGTCCTTATGTCCTTGCTATAATAATACAGCCACTTGGTGGCACTACAACTTAATTTAGTATAATATATATTTTCACCACGTGCACAAACACACACCCACACACTGTTCAAAATTCACTACAAATGCACATAATGCACATGCAAATGAATAGAGTATTTACGTATTAAAACAATTAAGATTATAAATACCAACAAAAACACATCAAAAACATGCACAATATATATTGAGCACCCAGATAAAGAACAGGCTGCAAAAAGTAGTGATTCTTCGGTATTAGTGACCTCTTTTCAAATAGCCAGCAGCGTGATTTGCAGTGTTGGGGGTAATATATTACAAGGCCCTGTCCAGAATTAAAAAGTAATGCAAAAGTAACGTAACGCATTACTTACCATAAAAAGTAACTAAGTAACGTAATTAGTTACTTTTTTATGGAGTAACGCAATATTGTAATGCATTACTTTTAAAAGTAACTTTCCCCAACACTGGTGATTTGTACTGGTTGGGAGTTGGGGGTTGTGTGTCTTTTACTGATTGTCTCTTGTACACCATGTGGCCAACTGATAACATCTCTAGCAAATCAGAGCCGAAGAAACGAAGCCCTGCATTGCCTTTAATGTGTCACTGCTGTAGTGAGCCGACTCTCTGACGGATCGCAGGTCTCAAGCTGGAAGAAATGCAGCAGAAACAGCTTGTTCTACCTCAGTAGACTGATTTAACAAGTCACATCTGCTCTGGGTCTCTCACAATTCTCAATGTAGCTTCATATAGCTGTTTTGATACACATAGAACACCAGTTAATCATAGCCAATGACTGGATCACTTCACTTAAACACTGAATCACAGTAATGAAGTTGCATTTCTTTATTTCAAAATACAAAAAGTAAAGCCTTACTGCTATCAGTGACTACTGCTACTGAGCCCTGAATTATTCAGTCTATAGCAGAGGTCCCCAACCAATTAAAATGTATTAAAATAGAAAAGTCATTTTCTATTTATTATTTGACGTATCAATTAAATCAAAGCAGCCCTGGTGTGTACATATCACCTATTTTGGGTAACTATTTATAAATCTATTTTTGCACTTTAAGTAGGTTTCCAACTAAGAAAATCTATTACAGTTTTGCCACACGTGTGTGAGTGTGAGAATGAGAAGACCAAAGATGAAGGCTAAATGAAGTATTTCAAATGAGCCTTCATCATTCCAATTAATGTTACCTACCGACAGAAGTCACTTCGAAAAGCTGATATAGAAAGAGCAAGATGAAGTGAGACACATGGCAGAGAGCATGAGAGAAGAGAGAGTGCGAAAGAGAGGTAGGTGGAGAAAGAGGGGGAGGTGGAGACAGAGAGAGGAGGGGAGGAGAGACAGAAAATGAGAGGGAAAGAGGGGAGGACAGTCCGCCTCTGCAGCGCTGCAAGGACAGTTTGAACATCTCTGGGACGCAGATGGACCGAAGCTCTCAATAATCACACGCTCTTCACCATGACAACCACGCCAATCACTGCACTGGACTGACAGCTGTCAATCAACAGGAGAAGATTATCAGGATCACCTGCCACAGGAGAGATTATAAGCTACAATAAGGGACCTAAGCAGAGTAATTCCAATTTATGTTTGGTTAGAAGTTGCTATCTAGAGGAAAATTGGCAATTTTTGATACCTCAACTGAATGCCTGCATGCGTTCACATGTGTATGCTTTAGGGGGAGCGTGCACAAGGTTGTCTTGCTGTGTATCAGGGTCACGGTCTTGCTGGCTTTCACCCGTCAGTGCAGTGCCACAATAAGCTTCGTTAGAGCCCGTTTTAGTGGGTAGCTCTGTTTATTTAGCATTTTATCCACGAAAACCATGAGTGAGGGCAAGAAGGCGTTAGAGATGAGGGACAAAGCCATCATGCACCAGCAGAGGAGACTGAAACAGGCCACCCAGTTCATGCACAAGGACTCCGCGGATCTTCTGCCTCTGGATGGGCTGAAGAGGTTGGGAACCTCCAAAGACCTGGTGAGTGGCTCTTTTGTTCAACCATAAAATGGTTGAGGCAGTTATGAATTTACTTACGTAAATACTGTGTGTGAATATGTGAAAGGATGCATGCATGCAGTTTTACATATATATATGCAAATCAGTAAACAGTTTCAAATGTTTCTGCATCCCATCACGCAATGCTGACATGATTCATTATTTAGCGCTCCAGACAAGGCAGTGAATGTTTCTGACACATCAGTAGATCCGGTATTCAGCTTCCCCTCCATGCTGGTAGATGAGAGTCACACACTTTCACACACAGGCACACACATGTCATGGTTTATATCAAGGTGAGGACCTCCCATTGACTTCTTTTGTACTTGAATCAAGCTAATTATTATAATTACTACAACCTTTGGTCACCTGAGAAGAAACATTTTATTTATGCATATGTTTATTCAAAAAATAATGAAAAAAATATACAAAATATATAATTAGTTACAATATATAATTAAGTAATGTCACACGAGTGGTGTTATGAATGTTGTTTTTATATACAATTCTTTTAACAAAAAGTTAACATCGAGTTATTTACATTTATATATTATGTCCACTTCTGTGTTTTTGCTCTGTCAATGAAAATATTGCAAAGCCGACTGTCGTACATATCAGTGCTCCGTTCCTGAATAAATCACTGTTTCAATCAAATGGAACAGCTGGGTGAATAATTCAATGACTCACTCATTCGGACATTGCTTGTTTCTTTCCTAAATAAATCAGCATTTTTTTTTAACTAATCAGTTCACTGAGTCAGCAACTGTGCTTGAAATCTCATACTTTCTGAGTAGGTACTACATTTGATAAAGAACTTTCCTCACGACACAAGAAAAAGTATGGTATATATATTATGAGACGGTGTAGTATGAATAAAATCCAGGCGTACTAGATCTGCCATGTTGTCATTGCCATGTGACTACAGCATCATTTGCGTTGCTTCACTGTCATTCACAACTCCTCTTCCGTGGCTTAATGGGATAATAAAGTGTCAATTAGGAGGCACGCTGCAGAATCTCGCTGGAAGCAGTAGGTCATCCGGGTATACTTTTCGCCAACTGTTTTATGAATACTATGCATTCAGACAAACTATTTTCACATACTGTTTTCGACCACTCTATAGTACACATATTCAGACGCAGGGAATGATTCCTAAAGATGTCACTTATCGCCCACTACTGGTGTAACGATTTACCCTGCAGAAAAAAAACACTGACAACGCCTACTTTTAATGCATATTACTGATTCAGACTCAGGGCTTGAACAAATTGTTATAATTAATAATAAATAAATAATAAATACATGATAAATAATAATAAATAATGTTATCTAGACCTTTATTACTGATTTTTGTACTAAAAAAAAACTTGTTGAGGTTACATAAGCAAGACAAAAAAATAATAATATATGGCCATGGAGTTAAAATCTCTGTAATGGTACGCAAATTAATCCTCTCATGAATGAATCAGAGCTGCTTTTTTCCCACAGAAGATTTCTCACAGCTTAAGCTCTCTAGCTTTTTCCCACATACTTTTAGTCATCAACATCAGAAACTTAGACAGAAATATTGGTGGACACACACATAATGGTTTATCTCATGGCAAGATAATTATAATATCTTACCCCTAATCCTAATACTTAAAGGCACTTTTTTCCATGTCGGTCCCTTTATGAAGTCTCAGTGGCACCACAAGATCCCCACAATGTAGGTTTGTCAATTTTTACTACCTAACAATGGGCCAATAATAAACCAAGAGCAAATGTTCTGTTAAATTACTGATATCCTCTCCCTCATTAAAAGTCATTGAATTGTACTGGTTCTGTCTCTCCAGCATAATAACGGTCCCACGGTCATCTCTAGCCACTACTCTAATTAGATGGCACATACCCAAACTCCCAGGGTGCACTCCAAGAAACCTTCAGAATATCAGTGTGCCATTGTGCACAGGCACACATGCGTGTGTTTATATGTGTGTGCCTATGATTAGAGAATGCATTTAAATGATCTCCACGCACAGCAGGGAAGAGCTGAAGCTTGTGTGCACAGCTTACGATGTCAGAGTCTCTAAAAAGTGGGAGCTAAAGATAACTGGCTGTCACAGACAGTGGAATGGTTTGCCTTAAAGCAATTTAAATGCTCAATGTGTCTCAAGGAATATCATATTCTGATTTGTGTTACTGTCTGTGCAGCTGTTTTTAAAATCACCATCTGGCTTGTGTTACGTCAAACAGCAACAACAACAAAACAATTCTCTTTCTCTGTCTCCTGCCTGCTTTGTGAAGCTGTCATAAGCAATTATTCACTGGATCCGATCTTGACGTTCACCAATGGCACAGATATGTCACGCTTGTCCTTCCGTGGCGAGAGGGGCAGATGAATACCTACTGACAGTTAGACAGATGGTACTGTCTTGTTGCACTGTACAGTGGGCTGTGTACCTCTTAAGGGCAAAAGGAAGATTATATCCTGCAGTATGTGTTCAGATGGATGAAGCGGAAGGGTGTGAAATACAGAGAAATTTGGAGAGGTTGAACACCAATTAAATTTGTCGTTATAATTGTATGTATTGCATATGAAAACGTTTCCACAGCATTTCGATAACCACAAGTGTCCTTCCGTGGCGAGAGGGGCAGATGAATACCTACTGACAGTTAGACAGATGGTACTGTCTTGTTGCACTGTACAGTGGGCTGTGTACCTCTTAAGGGCAAAAGGAAGATTATATCCTGCAGTATGTGTTCAGATGGATGAAGCGGAAGGGTGTGAAATACAGAGAAATTTGGAGAGGTTGAACACCAATTAAATTTGTCGTTATAAAAATGTCGTTTCCACAGCATTTCGATAACCACAAGAGTCCAAATCAAGGAGGTCTATATAACTGTAGAAAGCTATTTCATACAAATTTATCTCAATGGCAGTTGCTCAGCAGGCACAGGACCCCATAAGTATATTACTTCCTGTGCCGGCCGAGCAACTGCCATTGAGTCTATTTCAAAGAATCATATCCTATAAAATTATGAATTAAATAATGAAGTGTGTCTATATGTGAGGGCAAAGATAGTAAACGTGTTCTCAAGTCCCCCTGGTTTCCTGCTCTCGTTAACTCACGAGTGTCACGTGAAATTGTTCTTGTTATGTAACCGTAGGTTTGTTTCAGCTCTTTGGGCCTTAGGCCCTATGCAATCCCTTCTTCTCTCTCTCTCTCTCTCTCTCTCACTCTACTCCCTCGTTCTCTCTTGCTGTGAATGCAGAGCAAAGCAGTGAGCATGAAAAGGGCACACTCAGATCGGCACTCATGCGCAGGAGATGTGGATGGACTAAAAGAGAGAGAACCCTATCTTCCTTATACTGTTTCCTAATGCACTGAAGAAGTGTGTGCTGTTTATGCTGCCACTATCTGTTGAATTAGTCCAAGGCCACACATTTCTCACCATTTGAAGAAATCATGTGGGCAGACAATGATTGAATGTGTGTAAAGGAGTTTTAGCACGTGACTCGCAGCAAGCCTACTACATGCCAGTGGTTTCTGCAGAATTTATATTTATTCCTACAATTATTACTATATATATATATATATATATATATATATATATATATATCTTGC